TAATCAAGAAAAACACAATCAGTCTGTTCACCCTTATCTACGGACATGACAAGATCATGATAGAGCTCGGTTAGTTGCGTGACACAAGAATAACCTCTCCTAAATCCATGTTGTGAATCTATGAAAAAATTATGGTAACTAAGATGTTGCATTATCTGGCCGTACAAAATGTGCTCAAGTAGTTTGCAACAAATTGATGTTAAAGAAATCGGCCTGTAATTTGTAACATCTTTTTTGGGTCCCTTCTTGTGTATTGGTATTACATGAGCTACTTTCCAATCATTCGGTAATGACCCCTCAAGCAAAGACTGGTTGAAGATTATAAAAAGATATGGAGCAATGGCGTGAGCACAGCGCTTCAGAACCCTAGGCGAAATTTGATCAGGGCCAATCGCTTTAGTTTCGTCTAAATTTTTTAGTAGCTTTAGGACTCCCTCGACACCAACCTCAACTGGAGGCATATCATCGTATCTGTTTGTAAGCGTTACTGGCGTTATATTGCTCGCAGGCAAAAATACCGATTGAAAATATTCATTAAAGATGCAAGCTTTTTGACGGGCATCTGTAATTAGTTCGTTATTTACTAATAGGTCAGGTATTCCCATCTGGTCATTTCCGCAACGTTTCATAAACTTCCAGAACTGTTTATTGTTATTTTTCATTCCGTCTTCGAGCCGCTGTAGGTAATCGCCTTTTGCTTTCCTCACGGTGACTTTGTACTTTGTCGTCAGTTCTTTCAGTTTCCCATGGTTTACTGCTGACTTTTTCTTTTTGTACCGTGCGTAAGCACGCTTTCGTTTTTTTGTTAATCGTAGAACACTTCCGTTGATCCATGGTTTGGCTCTATTTTTTAATTTGGATGCATCAATACATGGTATGTATTTCTCTGTTAGCTTTATCACTCTCTGCCTGAGCAGTAACCACGTGTTGTGCACATCTGTTTCTTCGGCAACGCATTCAAACGAAAGAAAGCTACTAGAAAGCTCAGAGCTAATGCCTTCATAATTTCCCTTTTCATACAAAAACACCTTTCGATCTGAACTCAACTTTACACGTGCAGATTGAAAACGAAGCGTCGCGACTACAGCGTCATGGTCGCTTATGCTCGGTATGACATCGATTCGTTTAACAATGTCGGGATGATTGCACAACAACAAGTCGAGTATGTTGTGTCCGCGCGTAGGTACAAGTACATGCTGGGTAAAACCTAGACTATCAACCATGCACTTCATATCAATATTAAGTCGAGTCATTGTTTTACAGGCACACCCGTCATCGCTCCATGTCAAGTCTGGCAGATTAAAATCGCCACCAAGTACCACACATTCATTGGTAACACTAGAAACTATTTCGTTTAGGGTGTCTATACAAGTAGAATCAGAATTTCCAGGCCTGTAGAAAACTCCTACGGTAAAACATAGGATATTGGGCAGCCTGACCCGACACCATACGGATTCTATGTTTTCAGCTAGATCGAGTTGGTGGCTTTGCAAATTATTGTTAACCAACAGAAAAACCCCTCCCCCGTGTAACGACCTATCCTTTCTGTAGACGTTAAAGCATCTAGGGAATACTTCATGATCTAAGATAGAGTCGTCAAGCCATGATTCAGTGCCGAGAATGATATCGGCTTGAACAGATAGGATTAAACCCGATAATTCTTCTACTTTATTTTTTACGCTTCTGCAATTCACGACCATCACAGTGATATCCTTTTGCACCGCTTTCTTTGAATTCGTTTGACGTCAGTTACGTTGCACAGGTACAACCTCCGCTCTTTCACTGTTCCAAGTAAACATTTTCCCATTAATTACAAGCTTATCGTTCGTTAGATTTACTTTGCTGATACCTTCTTCCCTTCTAGCTTTTGCGTATGTCCAAAGATGGCGGCGCTTTTCTCTTACTTCTATTGAGTAGTCATTCGACAGAGACACCGTTGTACCTTTAATTTAAACGCGTTCATCAAAAGTGCAGCTTTTTCGTCTAGAGAAGAAAAGCGTATTAATATTGGTCGTGTTTTATTCTCCAGATGCCTTCCGAGCCTGTGTATTTTTTCTATCGTTGATACCTTCACGCCTAGCTTCTTGTCAAAAATTTCGGTAACCACTTTCTGGTTCAACGAAACGGGTGATTCAGTAGAGTCTTCCGCCACACCGTAAATAATGAGGTTGTTATGCCGGCTCCGGTTTTCAAGGGCGTCAACCCTCTCAGCCATTGCAGTGACGTTTCTTCCTAAATGCTGGACATAATTCTCGCATCTCTTAAGGTCAGGCTCTAATTTTGAGAGACACTCAACTTTAGTTTCTATTGAGGATAGTTTTGATTCTGTTTGTCTAATGTGTTCGTCAAGTTTACTTTTAATTTCTGATATGCTGTTGTTTAGCGTCCTCTGGCCATCAAGAATCGCTGCCAACTGAACTTCCGTCAGCGGGCCAGGGTTGAGTTCCACATCCCCGCTCAAAAGAAGAACGAGGAAGCAGAGTGAATCAAAACAGGCGGCAACACACTCCAATAAAGCTCCTGGGCGAGGCAGCACTACAAGACAGACATAATTGCTTTTCACACTAGTAAAGGAAGGAGTTTTACCAACCTGGATAGCAAACAAGAGCTGGTTTAGCCGTGGCCGCATCGTTGCAGTGCTGTCTCGCCCACTGAGTACGACGACGAAAGGGGCGGTGCAGGAAAACTTTGCCCCCGTCGATGACGATGGTGCTTCATACAAAGTTGCAGATAACACCGGCGGAAATGTTCCAGCGGCCGCCAAAACACACGGGAGCTCGCTGTCATCGGCGTAGTTCTTGAAGGACGTTGCGTTGAAAATGCGATGACTGTCACATGATGATTCCCCGCATTCGTTGACGGGCCACACAGTTTAGGATGCAAGGACCTGGATAGCAAACAAGAGCTGGTTTAGCCGTGGCCGCATCGTTGGAGTGCTGTCTCGCCCACTGAGTACGACGACGAAAGGGGCGGTGCAGGAAAACTTTGCCCCTGTCGATGACGATGGTGCTTCATACAAAGTTGCAGATAACACCGGCGGAAATGTTCCAGCGGCCGCCAAAACACACGGGAGCTCGCTGTCGTCGGCGTAGTTCTTGAAGGACGTTGCGTTGAAAATGCGATGACTGTCACATGATGATTCCCCGCATTCGTTGACGGGCCACACAGTCCAGGATGCAAGGACCTGGATAGCAAACAAGAGCTGGTTTAGCCGTGGCCGCATCGTTGCAGTGCTGTCTCGCCCACTGAGTACGACGACGAAAGGGGCGGTGCAGGAAAACTTTGCCCCTGTCGATGACGATGGTGCTTCATACAAAGTTGCAGATAACACCGGCGGAAATGTTCCAGCGGCCGCCAAAACACACGGGAGCTCGCTGTCATCGGCGTAGTTCTTGAATTCTGAAATTGGAAAACAGCGCGCAAAAAGACGAAGACGACGAGAGAAGAGCACAGGACAAGCGCTGACTATCAACTGAAGTTTTATTAAAAAAGGCTCAAGCAAGAAAACACCACACAGTCAGCCAACGCCGAAACAACCAATGGCGTGTCGCTCACCAGTCATCTATAAAATCTATCTCTTTTTTGTGAAGATAAACAGAAGGTTGGCTGACGCAGTGCCCCGCGCCAGCTTTTTCGATAGCATGCGCCTCCAGCACCTCTCTTTGCACTTTTGTGCGCCCCCTGCCAATGATTAAGGTATTTTGGAAGACGGGGTGACACTGGCAGTCTCTGCAATGTACGTACAAGTGACCTCCGGTCATTGACCGCAGGGAATTCGCATGCTCACGCATTCTCTCGTTGACGCAGCGTCCCGATTGTCCAATGTAAACCCGTCCGCATGACAATGGAATTTTGTAGATGACACCCACAACGCAATCCACGAACTTGTTGACATGCTTAACAGTACATGACATCTTTTTACTGCTTGCCTGGTTTACGCGCGGGCAAAGTTGTGCTAATTTTTGAGGCGCTGAAAAAACCATTGGCACATTGAACCGGTTAGCCACTTTTTTTAAATTGTGTGAAACCTTATGTAAGTATGGGACAACCTGAGGCCTTTGTTTAGGCTTTACTTTTGGTTCCTGAGAACCACTCTTGACTTTTTTCAAGAGTGTCTGAGAGACACCAAGCAAAACAGAAAGAGGAAATCCTGCTCCTAAAGTCGCTTGACCTGGGCTTCATAGCTGTCAAGCATGGCATGGATTTCCTCTTTCTGTTTTGCTTGGTGTCTCTCAGACACTCTTGAAAAAAGTCAAGAGTGGTTCTCAGGAACCAAAAGTAAAGCCTAAACAAAGGCCTCAGGTTGTCCCATACTTACATAAGGTTTCACACAATTTAAAAAAAGTGGCTAACCGGTTCAATGTGCCAATGGTTTTTTCAGCGCCTCAAAAATTAGCACAACTTTGCCCGCGCGTAAACCAGGCAAGCAGTAAAAAGATGTCATGTACTGTTAAGCATGTCAACAAGTTCGTGGATTGCGTTGTGGGTGTCATCTACAAAATTCCATTGTCATGCGGACGGGTTTACATTGGACAATCGGGACGCTGCGTCAACGAGAGAATGCGTGAGCATGCGAATTCCCTGCGGTCAATGACCGGAGGTCACTTGTACGTACATTGCAGAGACTGCCAGTGTCACCCCGTCTTCCAAAATACCTTAATCATTGGCAGGGGGCGCACAAAAGTGCAAAGAGAGGTGCTGGAGGCGCATGCTATCGAAAAAGCTGGCGCGGGGCACTGCGTCAGCCAACCTTCTGTTTATCTTCACAAAAAAGAGATAGATTTTATAGATGACTGGTGAGCGACACGCCATTGGTTGTTTCGGCGTTGGCTGACTGTGTGGTGTTTTCTTGCTTGAGCCTTTTTTAATAAAACTTCAGTTGATAGTCAGCGCTTGTCCTGTGCTCTTCTCTCGTCGTCTTCGTCTTTTTGCGCGCTGTTTTCCAATTTCAGAAGTCATGAACCAACTCGCTTGCATCGCCACCTTAATATAGTTCTTGAAGGACGTTGCGTTGAAAATGCGATGACTGTCACATGATGATTCCCCGCATTCGTTGACGGGCCACACAGTCCAGGATGCAAGGACCTGGATAGCAAACAAGAGCTGGTTTAGCCGTGGCCGCATCGTTGCAGTGCTGTCTCGCCCCTTTCGTCGTCGTATCTGTGTTGAGAATTACTTTCTATTTGAGAACAGGCGAGCATGTATATTAATTGTAATGCTTTTTGCTTATTTTAGTGCTCAATATTATAAACCTATATAACGTTTTACGTACCTAAATATATTTGTAAACTAAACGTACATCTATTGATTTCTGTCTGCATCAGTGCATTTTAAGGGAACAGGTGATCAAAATGTAATAATAACAAATAAAATATTCTGATCTCTGTCTGCAGAAGGTCTTTTGAGAAACCAGGCCAGGAAATGGAACTGATAGCAGCATTGTAAACCCGAGGCGTAGGACAAAAGGAGAAGAAAAAAAGGGGACAAAACAGACACAGACCTCTGCGGCCGTTTATGGGAATATAGGAGAAAAACTTAAATCTATGGATTTGTGAGTGCACTTCTGTGTGTGCGCTGGTGCCTACAGGGCACTAGCGCGCACGAAAAATAAAGGAACAACTTTTTTTTTTTAAAGGTAAGTTGTAAGGTTTTGAGAACAGCAGCACCAACGGGTGGGAGACTTCTAAATTCTGAATGAGCCACAGAAAAAACGGAAATGTTTGCTTGTCAAATTACCTCCAAAGCCTACGGAGCGGCCACCTGATCAGTGGTTTTTCTTGTATGAAATGGCCCATTTCAGTTTCAAAGCTTTTGGAAGCACAGAGCGTCCAAGTATACTCAGAATTTCGGAGATATTGGCTTAGTTTCGGTTTCTAAATTTGGCTCCATCCGAATAAACACCAAACAAAAAACCTCAACAGGTCCTCATGGGATGTCTCTTATTATGAAGGTCTTATTTCAGGAGCTTTGAATGCAAATCCCGAATTTATCACGATAACAATATCGGCGAATAAGAGGCGATAGAAAGCAGAATGTATATGCTCATAAGCGCGAAACACATGTACGACGAAACCGTCCGATCCGACGTCCGACCGCGCAATACGACGGTCGGAGGCGAGGGTTTTCAACGCTCTCCGATGCTGCGAACACCCTCTCCCCCCAAGGTCATTCCGGCAGTCCGCACGTCGGATCGGAAGGTTTTCGTCGTACATCTGTTTCGCGCTATATTCGCGCCTCGCTCGTTGGTCGCTGTCATTTTTTTCATTCAGTGCAAGGCCAAACACGGGTAGGTATTGCAGCAGATGATAACAAACATAGTCGGTAGCAAATGTACTTTCATAGATCGACCATCTGCTAGAACTGGACCAGAATGCCAGCGGGAGCCGACGGAACTTTCGCGAGCACATTTGCATTATTTGCGGACTAAATCGTAATTTTAAATGGGAAATCAAGCGCATACTTGAATAAACGCATGACGTTATGTGCCTTGAGGTGGTCACGCTTCATTTCACAGGTGAGAATGCTCACTAACTGCGTAGTGAGCTCACAAACAGCTGCATAAGCCCTGTTCCACATACACTCGGCGGGCGAAGAAGGCGGCGATATGGCAGCTCCGCTAGCAGACGACAGAGTAGTCTCCACTCTGGGACGGCGGCAGCCAGCAACATTGAGGCACTCTACACCAAACTTGATTGTCCTGAGGGTATTCACATCGCTGGATAGAGGTATTTTAAAATAAAAATGGCCATCTGTACAATAACGCTTGCTTAGCATTCTTCGTTAAAAGACTTTCATATGACTAGAGACTCGGGCAGGCTTTTGATATATACCTCACGGGGCTAATGTTTTGATGTACTGTTTTAGGAGGTTTAAGAATGTCAACTGTAACAGTGAAAGCAAATAATTGTCCCCTTCAAAAAATGGGCAAAGCCTAAATGTGCCCATCGTGTTGATGAATGCCTTTCTAAATATTTAAACATTGCGTTTTGGCTGACGTGACGCCGTAACTTCATGTGACCTGACGTCACGTGGTTTTAGGGCACGCACCGTGTCATACAGGCCACAGACCAACGTTACTAAAACACTCAGTTGGGAAACTCGCCGTCGAAACCTGGGCCGCTGGCGTCCACCGAGACCGTCTTTGGCACTCATTCAGTCATATCTACAACATCGCAAACAGTGTGACTCAATTGTTATACCTCATCTTTGCAACTATTGAAGTCTGGTGTTCCGCAGGGCAGCATACTTGGCCCACTTCTGTTCAATGTGTACATAAATGACATCGTCAACACTTGTCAACACTCACGTTTTATAATGTAAGCAGATGATTCTAGTATTTTTATTTCTGTGACGAATATCGATGAACTGATTATTAAAGGTAATGTTATCTTAGAAAAGTTTCTCTTATGGTCAGAAAAAAATGGCCTCGAAATAAATACTACCAAAACAAAAGCGATTGTTTTTAGACCTGTAAATAAACATATTGATGCTAGTTATGCTCTTAAGATTGAAAACAAGGAAATTGAAATAGTAAGTCATCATAAAACGCCAGGCATAATTTTTCAGAGTTTATGCAATGTGATCATCATATAGAATTTCTAACTCACAAACTGGCAAAGGTCACTGTCGCTCTCTTTTGCCTACAAAAGTTAAGCTTCAAATTTATCATGCTCTGTTCGGCTCACAAATCAACTACTGCCATTTAGTTTGGGGCACAGCGACCAAAAGTAACGTCAACAAACTAATAACTCTTCAGAAAAAAATTATTCGTTTCATTGCTGACGTTCCGTACGACACACATGCTGAACCCTTATATTTGAGCTACAATATCATGAAAGTTTCTTGTATTTATGACTACCGTTTGCTATTTTCTTACGCCTTTTCAGCTTTGGAGTTTATTGCTTTTTCGTCACAGCTAGTAAACCTGACTGAGCGGGAATCAGTCTTCGATGTTCGTCGTAGAGAAATCTGGAAAATTCCCCATTTCCGTGCCAATTATGCACTGCAGTCTCTTGCTCATTATCTACCTACATTGCTTAACAACATTGTAATGAACCGCATCGATATTCATTGTATAACTAAGAAAACATTGCGTACTTTTGTGTTGTTAAATTAAGAAAAAAAAAGTTCTCTAATGTCGGTGATTTGAAAATTTTATTGGAATATTTTAAATTGTTTGATTTGAATATTGTAAGAAATGTTTAGGATTGTTTAAATATGATTCTGTTCCCTGTACATGCAAGGGCACCGGACCCAGTCAAGCTAGCTTCTGTTAGCTTTTTGTCCGGTGTCCTCGGCATAATGTTGCTGAAATAAAGTTCAAGTTCAAAGTTCAAAGCTAAATGCGACAACAGCGCCACTCTTTATCGTTTGTCTGTATTGTGGTCAACTTGAGCTTTTTGAAAGCCTGCTTTTGCGTAAAAACAAACGGAAAAGACTCTTTTTGTATGAAATTTATTTTAGTTTAGTACAAAAATAGGGGCGCGTTATGTTTTTTAAATCTTTAGTTTGCAGGGTTTTGCGGCACAATTAATATTGTTTTTATACAACCATGCCTCAGCGGTCCTTTCAGGTAGCGCGTCCCGACCTAGGTGCATTTTAACTTCGGTAGTTCGACGCGGCGCGTCCGCCGGGGAGACGAGGGTGGCACTCCTGTAACCTCTTCCGCTGTATCTGTTCTTAAAGCCAAAATAGAAGTCACGTGCAGTTCCTCGAGTGGCCGCTGCGGGAGAAATGGTGGCGTTGTATTCGTCATTAGCTCGGTGCTCGGAGACAGTTTGGGGCCACTTTTTGCAAAACTGTCTCATGGGAGTTTCCCAACTGAGTGTTTTAGTAACGTTGCCACAGACGAACATGAAGTCTGAGTACGCTTTCGTTAGTATTTAAGTGTGCATTAATACGCATTCGAATAACGTTAAATGGCACCTCTGCCTATTGTATTTTGTCACCTGGACAGCTCTCAAATTTATCCAATAGCCATATATACTTTTTATCATGAGAAAACGTTTCTTAGCTTGAGAGAAGTACGCAATATAAGAATACTTTTGTCACTTCAATAAAAGGATGGGATCTGACGCGACACAAGTTTTGGGTCAATAGCTGACAGCGAAAATTAAACCTGATAATTATTTAAAGCACCGTTTGACCGATTTCTTCATGGGTGTGCCTTTAAAGATTGGGCTATCATTAATTGATGTTCGTCATAAAGTCACGTTACAACGGGGCTCCTTTTTTTGCTTCGCATATGCTTTTAATATAGTTTGTGTTTGTGTGTAATATCGAAGTATTTCTTGAAAAGAAATCAAATGTCGTTAGCACACATCATATTGTGACATATTCATTGAAATCTTCTTTTTATTGGCGGAAGGGGAGGGTTACAAATGTAATATTGTCACGAATGACGAGGTGACGAAACAAAGAACAACTGAGGAAAATGAAACGTTTAATGGGGCGAAATTGTGCCCAAAACAAAACAAAAAAAATGAGCAGGAGATAACAACAGAGCGTCGCGGGCGTCAAAGTCGGCGTAACAGCAGGATCGAACGCTGGGCGAGACTGACTGCAGCTTGCCACGCAGAGCCCCTTTTGTATACGCGTGGGCTTCTGGAACAATCAGAGTAGGAGGTTTAGCGCGTAGGACATTCTATCCCAGAATCAGCAACACGGTTTCGAACTTAGCAGAACATCACATCACAGAGTCAAAAAAATATGTACCCGCTGCCAGGACTTGGACCTTGGCTGCCGGCCAAGGTCCGGGTCCTGGCGGTTATTGTATGAGGCAAATGCGTTAACCGCTAGGCCGCGAGAGCGCTGCCTACTTGGTCTGCTGCGACCGCGGCAATATGACTTATTTTGATTTGGCCGAGTTTCGTTGCAAAGAATATCCGATGATACCTTTTCGAAACTAAAACGATTTATAATAACAGATAATTTTGACATATATGTCCCGCGCAGACATAAACTCACCTAAATACTCTAAAGCGGTTGCCTTGCTGTCACACCTTTCCTGATATGAGGTGACATATATCCTGTGGTTAAAGGAAAGAAAAAGAAAGCTTACTCGTAATGTCACCCAAACTTCAAATTGCCTTTCTGCAAGCTTCGCTTGGTATACAGGCCAGCGTATCTAGATCTGTCTGACAAGCGCCGTCGGCAACAGGAAGCTGATTTTAGAATCAAATAGACCGAAGCGATATGAACTTTGACCAGGAATTTCTTTTCCAATGAACATGGCTGTTTTAACCGTGTGACAACATTAAATACCAGACAGTGACCATAAAATTTAACAAAAAAGAACAATAAAAAATGTTAAAAAAATTTGTTTTGGTGTACGTAAAAAACTCGAAATTCACAAATTCTTTTTCTTACACATTACTGCAAAAGTTGACGGCCATAAATGGATTCTTCTGATACCAATTATGGTGCCTTAAATTTTATTCTCGCATGCTTTTATATAATTGCTTGTGCTCATTAGAAATCACTGAGCAATATTTTTACTTACTAAATTGTAGTGTGCATTTTTTGTTTAAACATTGGTTATAGTTATCACCGAAAGAGTGTTCTCGATTAAACCAATCTTGGTGGGCAAGCACGTAAACAATTGAGCCTTAAGCGACCCCATCTTTTGCTTCCTTGAACCTCCGTAAAAGAAGAACCGGTTATTTCTAATGATGCCTACAATACTTCATGCAGACTGATGCTACTTTTGAACCGTTGATAAAGCGATCTTGCTATAAAATTAAAATGAAAAAGTTAACAATAAAGAACCGTCGTGTTGCTTCGTTGGAGGAACACAAGAAACAACTACCGTTGAAATAATTTGTCAATTAAAGCTTGTGCATGCAGGATTAATTAAGACTCAACATGGGCATGCGATGACAATTACACCATATGAAAATGTTCCTGAATAATCTCAAATTTTTTGTCACAAGTACTTTATTTTTTTGAATAATGTAAAAGTATTCGACAAATCGATTACTAGAATTTCAAGGTCGAACGACATAATTCGTTTATTCGATTCCAATTCGAAACTCGAATATTCGCGCAAGCCTAGTGATTACACATTTTATGTTAAAATATCAAAGTGCATAATTTAAAAAAATATATATATATCGAGCATTTTCCTCCACTGACTTCGATAGTCCTCAACGTTTAAACCAGTTTGTCATGGTCGAAATTCGCGAACAAAGACATAGTTATTAAGTTTAAGCAATGCGAATGAATACCAGACACAAAAAAGGGCGCACCCGCTCCTCCGTTTTCAATCCAGCGTCGGTTCATCTCATAAAAGTAGAAACCATCCATTTTGGTGCTATTTTCAAATCAGGGCACTCTGCAGATGTTAGAAATTATAGACCCGTTTCCTTGTTAACCACATTCTCGAAAGTGTTGGAGGTTGTGGTAAAAGTGCACCTTTCTAGCTATTTCAACGACATATTAAATTAATCTCAACTAAGTTTTGTAAAATCTAAAAGTGTTGAAACTAACACTTAGCTGAGTATTTGAGTCACGTTGGCCCCATTGTTGCCAACCGTGGGCAGGTCGACGCCATTTAATTTTGACTCGAGCCTTTGACCTTGTGCACCATGACCTATTATTAGTGCACAAGTTGTCGGAACATGGAGTCTCTTTGCCGTTATGTTTGTGGTTCCAGTCATATCTGTCCGGCCGATTTAACAACGTTCGTGTTAACGGTGTGTTGTCGTAATCATACATATATATCATCCGGCGTTCCTCAGGGTTCTATTCTAGGGCCCTTGCTGTTTAATATTTCGTCAACGACGCCTCTCTTTGCGTAAGCATTCAAATCTGCTGCAATTCGCTGATGATATTAAGGTGTTCAAACAGATAAAATCACATGTTGATTGTCTTTTGCTACAGGAGGATATTACTGCTATTTCATCATGGTATCTTCAAAATAAATTACGTCTAAACGCCAAAAAAACATGTGTCACCCCCTTATCAAGAAAGAAGTGTGCGCTTCATTTTTTGTATAAGCTGGACAATCAACCATTGCGACGCAAATATTGCGCACGCGACTTAAGAGTGCATATTGATTCATCCCTTAGTTTTACAAATCATGAGTCCAATTTGGTTAGCTCTTGCTTGCGACTTTTGGGTTTGTTTTTAATATTACCAATCATTTCAAAGATCCGTCCTGTCTCGTTAGGCTTTTCACATTGACTGTGCGCTCAAAACTGGAGTTTGGCTCTGTAGTTCGGAACTGTCTGGGTGTGACCAACTCTGTTGACCTAGAACGTGTGCATGGAAAGTTGGCACGCATTGTTTATGACCGTTATTACGGCCGCCGTTTTTTTTTTTTGTTTTTTTTTTGGCTACGAGTCATTATTAGATCGACTCAACTTGCAATCACTACAGGCTCGTCGCAGTTTTCGTGATTTTGTATATTTGTATAAAAGTCTGCATAGCATATTGTGTTGCCCTAGGCTTGTTTCTCTGCTTTCTGTACATGTCCCCCGAGTAAACTGTAGACACCAGAACACGTTTTACGTGCAAAACATATGTTCATTTTCCCCGATTTTACGAATTTAAAGCAATTTTAATGCACTGAGCGCGGCGGTTGACGTTTCCGGGAGTGAGTGGGATTTTAAAAGCGCACTAACCATTCACATTTACTAACATCAGTGTTCGGGTTTTATATGTGTTCTGCCATTATGTGTACGTGTTTTTCTTTTTAAAGTGTATGTTGTGCGTTAGTGTGTACCAGTATGAAGGCCTCGGCTGTTTCTGGACACAAGACAAACAAATAAATAAAAATAAATAAGGGCACAGAACTAAGTTTTAATTGAATGAACACCTGGTGTTTTCCGACGTTCTCATTTTAGAGCGCAGCTCTTAGGCGCCCGTTTCCGGCTTGGGCGGCGTCGCCGTCGCCGTCGGCTTAACCGCGCGTTGCATTATGGGATGTTTTTCATATTGACGTCACACGTGACGTAACGTAGGACGTCATGAGGGTCACGAGTGACGTCGTCAGGGTCACTAGGGACACGAATGGCGTCACGAGACGTCACTCGTAACTGTGGGTTGCATTATGGGTCTTTTCCCATAATGACGTCACAGGTGGTGTCACGTGCGACGTTACGATTGTCACGAGGGTCGCGGGTGATGTCGCAAAGGTCACTCGTGAAGATCACGACATTATCACGAGTTCTTGGCCGTATTTAAAGAGTGGCGAACCTTGTGCCGAGGTGGTTAGTTGAAACATGGTGTTTCTCCTTATTTTTTCCCTAAAGGTGTAATGGAGTTATTATATGGGGCACAACTACAGTATCCGATTACTATAAATTACTAATCCTACAAAAAAAGGCTCTACACATATTTGAAAACTATGGGGCGGGGGGGGGGGGGGGGGGGCAGAATAAGACAACTGCGGACGAAACCGTTTTTTTATTAAATACAGTACCTTAAAGGCAAATCAAGTAAACTACTTCAAATTATTTAAATTAAGTTATCAAAAAAGATTCTACGTCACTCCAGTCGCAACGAGAGAAGTGTACCCGTTCCGTCATGTTAAAAGAAGGGAACTCTATACAAGAGCAAATTACGGAATACAGTACCATATAATTAGTCTGTTAAACAACATGCCCTCTATGAACTATGCAAAATAGTTCCCTTTATTTAGGAAAAGAATGTAGAGCACTGCTGCTAGGCAGTAATATACAAATTGTCTAAGCTTCCTAATGACAAAAGCGTTGTATGATACTTTTTTTTTTCAAAGTTCATCCGTGTTTTATTTTATGTGCATGACTCCCCTTGTTATATTTTGTTGGGTATATACTGTTCACTTTCTGTAGGGTGAGCGATAATGAGGTTTGTTATTCGTGTGTTCCTTAGATTACTTTTTTTCTTTTTATGATATATTATCTGTATTCTCGTGTTTTTTTCTGCATTCAGTACGCATTTTTATTCGTGTAGACATGGCTTTAATTGTTGCCTTTATTGTTGCATTTGTGTTATGTATGTGTGTGTCTCAGTTCAGTAAACGTGTTTATGATATATCATATTGTTAAATGGAATGCATTTCCATGTTATTTTTTGTATGTGGACTGTAAGGGACCTGTGCCGCGTCGGGCTTTTTTAGCCCTTTGCACTGACCTTTCTTTCGGAGAAGGAGACGAGGGAGGGGGAAGAGGAGCAAAGGAGAAGGAGGGCATATCCTCCTCTCCGTACCCTCCCCTTCTCCTCCTCAATTTTTGCGCTCTAATTCAGCATTACAGGGAGTTGCTATCGTCTTTTATTTTTTTTTTCTTCCCAACACTTGCACGGAATAGTTTTTTTTTCTTCTAGGATCAATACATTGAAAGTTAGACACTTGGAATAGTTTTTTTTACGGGATAATCTTATTGTCAACTATTATTTTATGGTTGTTTATTGTTTTATGCTTTTCCACAGTGTCTGCGAAGAACGAAGGCACAGTTATCAAGATGATATTAGTTTTTTCACGAAAAAATATATATGAAACTTCTTATTCTTCAAACAAATTTTATACCTTGCCACCTGATCGCTCGTCTGGTGGTATTTGGGTTCGTGTTGAAAGAACTGAATAAGTCCCGAGCACAAAACGTCTATACCATAATTCACGCAGAAGTAAAAATACATCCTGCTAAAAATATGGAGTGTTTACGGTACGGTGGCCGCCAAATGGACAATCAACCTCTAAGACTGCTCCTAATATTAAAACCTTCTGACTACGATGAATAAAATGTTACTCTTTGATATTCTAAATTTCGAACAATTGTTTCATTAGCGCTAGGTCGCGACAACCGTGAGAATGTGCCTGATGCAACGACAACAACACACTCCACTCTGAACGCTCACTTCCAGAGACACACACGCTCGAGACAGAACATCCGCATCATCCCGGGTAGCGCGTCAGAAATATGCCTACGATCCGCACAAGTTTGGCAATCCTAAGTGTCTTACTTGGGCCTAATACGCTTTTGATCGATGGCCTTTGTTAGTGGCAGACGGTCTTTTTACACGTTACTTGAAAAGCGTAATCGATTACAATTACAATTACTTTGTGTAAAATTTATTTAAATACATTTCTTGATTACTTACATGCAAAGTAACTGGCAGTTACATGAAAAGTAACGGTTCCTTTTTTTATTAGTTCAGATTTTTAGAACGGCGTATTTTCCTGCCGCTTTGAAAACAGGTCTGTCGTGCTGTTCATTATTTGATTAGAATCGCCAAAGTATAAACTACCCTTCTTGTAACCGCCAATTTCGGTAAAACGTCCTCCTCTCCGAGAGTGAAGAAAAAAAAAAGACGCCATAAAAAAGGGACGGAAGAATAGTAACTGTTACAAGTAACTTTAGCTCTTGCAAAAGTAATGGGATTATTGTCGTGATTGCTTATTAATAAATTAATTCAAATTAGTACAAAATTACTCAAAACGTAATCGATTACAATTAATTTCATGATTTGTAATGAAATAAAGTGCAATTAAATTATTACAGATTCGTACCGTACAAGTCTGGCGCCAGAGTATTTTTATTTTACGTTTTCATGTAGCTTGACTGGCTTGCCTCATATAGTTGCCAAAGTGCCAGAGATGAGAAAAGAAAAGCCGTATCTGAACCGAAAAACCAGCATTGAAGCATATAACTCTGGCACCTCTGGCGATTTATACGTGGAGATACCATGGGACAGGCAAACTACCAGTAGTGGAGCCAAACTTTGGCACTTGTTTTGCGAATTAGGGCCAAGATACCCAGGCCCTGGCCAATATAAATCGAGCGAAGCTCTACCTTGGTTTTTGGAGCTTTTAACTACATAAATTCCCCGACACAAACCAAATTTTGGCCCCAAAAATTGCCCTACCTAGGCTGCTCCTTCAACAAGTGCCGTCCGGTCCGGCGACCCATTCCTTCTATTTAAGTGTAACTGTTCTTTAAATAAAAAAGGGGTCACCTTGCCACCTTTAACGCTTTTGAAGAAGTTTATGTTTGTAAAATAGTTGTCACAATAAATTGTTCACACTGCACTGCACTGTTAGGGCGAACGCGACATCGGCGATTTTTAAAGTTTATTTTGAAATGGTTTTAGTGAGCGTCAATTTTTAGCGCCTATGATTGTGCACGAGGGGAGCTTGTTTTCACCATGAGGGTTGGTAGAGGACAGCCTTCATATTTTGTTTAAAAAGAGAACAGAAAACCAATTTCGGAATCGCTTGTTTGTGCCAACAATATTGCGCAATGTAAATCTCATCTACTAAGCCATTTGTGTTTGAAGGCTGGCCTTTCATTTACGAGTCCCCGTTTTATCAAAGTAGCCCCTGTTTTATATATACATATATACATAGTATTGCTTCAGTGAGCCATTATTAACATTAAAACTCTCTAACAAGCTACCAGCAAAAAAGTTACATGCGTAGTAAAGACTAAACTTTACGAATCATTCTTTCCTTTTTGCGTCGAAAGTTGAAACACGCTCCAGATCATGACGCTACCAGATCCAAAAAAGGTGGCGCAGCTTGCTCTGCCACAGCAACTCCGAGAGTCGGCTATACGCGGAGAACCCAGTTTTCTTCTCATTTCATATTCCAAATGCCAATCGAAGCCCTTCTTCTGCAGCCATTTTAATAAACGTTAGCATATTAAATAAACCTTATTAGATATGTATCTAAAATAACATTGTATTTTTTGTAAGAAATAAATAAATATGGGTCTTTCAACATGAGCCACCGAAACCATCAATATAAAGGTTAGCATAGAGTTTAACGAATTCAGTTCATTACTAGAGTTATTCACCTAATAAAGCGTTCGCGGGATTTCATTCCTTCGATGCAAAGACATAACCAATGTAGGCATTTCTACTTTTTAATGCGAAAGCATTACCTGTTCCATGAATCGACCCGATGTCATCAGCTTTGAAGCCACACCAAACGGTACCTTAAATTCTTTTTTTCAAAGTGAAGACAGTTCTCAGCTATGAAACCACGCAAAAAACGTATCCAAACGGCACCTAGTTTCCCCGATCCCAAACCAGCGGAGTAAAGCTGATGGATTTCGGCTTTGGTCCCACTGACTGGCGCGCGTCGACGGGACTCCCATTGGCCGCTGTGCGTCAGTGTCAACAACCGCCACCCCATGACGCTGCGTCTCCGTCTGCGCTAGAGTTCCTGTATAGGCTCCCTACGGGAGCCACAGTTGCGCGTTCATCCCCGTAGCGCCGTCTTTCTCGCACGGTATGTTGGTCCTGCTCCTCAAGGCGGGCTCAAAAGCAGAGGAACGTACGCCGGGGCAAGCGCAACGTCAACTCTCCTACACGGCACTTCCTCCGGCTCCTCACATGATCCGATCTCGGCGAATAGCGGCGCGGCGGCGCGCGGAAAGCAGACGCGCAACTCTGGCTCCCGTAAGCGCGATCCAAACCAACGCTTCTTTTTGCGGCTGTAGGTCGTGCGGCTGCGGATGTGACGCATTTCCTGACGTTTTTGCTGTTTCCGGGCGCGCTTTCTGAGTCAGAACCGTGCGCTTTGGTTTGGACGGGCCAGCCTCGGGCGAGCGCGCACGCGCGCAACAGACTGGCCGGCCAGGCCAGTCTGTCGCAGCCAGAGGCGGCGAGCGAGAGAGAGAGAGATCGCGTTGTTATGTTGGAAGAGAATAAAAGTGGGGGGAGGAGAGGGCCAATGGACCTTTTTCCAGTAAGCGTCTGCGCACGCGCACACCCTTTCCACTTGACCTTGACCAACCTTTCGCCATTTTTGGGGGGCACTGTTTTCTTGCGACACTAATCTGTTCCTATGGGAGAAGGCGAGTCCGGTTGCCCTCCATTTGTAGTAGGCGGCGAAACCGTCATGGGGCACTCCTTACTGGAAAAAGGTCCATTGCGGATGCGCACCGGAAGCTTTTGTCACTTGCTCTGAGAAGGCGGCGAAGAAACGCGGAGCCGGAACTAGCTTGCCCTCCACCGATTGGCCGGGACACAGGAGCGCCCTATACGTCACCGCGCGTTTTTGTGCGCGTTGAGAAAGAAGTTGAAATTATCTAACTTTTTTGTGCGCGCCCGGAAGGAGCGAAGAAGTGGCGCGACGTCACGAAAATACGTCACATCCGCAGCCGCACGACCTACAGGCGCAAAAAGAAGCGTTGGTTTGGATCGCGCTATAGGGAGCCTACAGGAACTCTAGTCAGCGCGCCGATACACGAAACGTCCAAGGTCAGAGCGGCGAGGAGAGGGCGCACTCTGCCGTCGACGGAAATACGCTGCAGACGAAAGAAGGTATGCTTGGGAGAAGAGCGTGTTGGTTTAAGTCATGAATGAAGAAAGAATAAATCAATTAAAACAGGGACAACACAACCACATATTTCAACTAGCAACAGACGAGTAAACTTTCAAAAGCGAGCAGCCGACTATACCCAGTAGGAGTATGGGAGAGAAGGGGGAGAGAAGGAAAGATAAGACCACGAAGTGCAAGTCAGGGTGGTAGGGTTATCTCGGATTTTAGAAATTCAATCTCAGTTTTCGTCAGCAGGAGGGAAGGGTTTGACACGTTGTTTTTTGCTGTGGTCATGGCGAATGATTCTATGATTTCCCTGCCGAATCGGCTGTCATGCCCCCCCCCCCCCCCCCCAGGATTTTTGTGCCATCAAAGAGGGGATGACAACGCAAACACGAACGGGCATGTACGACTATGGGATGATAAGAATCTGGAGAGGCCTTAGAAACTTCGTTGTGATGTTCGCGGAGTCTGTGATTGGTGCATCTGCCGGTCTGTCCCATAGTCATACATGCCCGTTCGTGTTTGCGTTGTCATCCCCTCTTTGATGACACAAAAATCCTGGGGGGGAATGACAGCAGATTCGGCAGGGAAATCATAGAATCATTCGCCATGACCACAGCAAAAAACAACGTGTCAAACCCTTCCCTCCTGCTGACGAAAACTGAGGTTGAATTTTTAAAATCCGAGATAACCCAACCACCCTGACTTGCACTTCGCGTTTCTTATCTTTCCTTCTCTCCCCCTTCTCTCCCATACTCCTACTGGTATAGTCGGCTGCTCGCTTTTGAAAGTTTACTCGTCTGTTGCTAGTTGAAAGATGTGGTTGTGTTGTCCCTGTTTTAATTGTTTTATTCTTTCTTCATTCATGACGAAAAAAGGCTTGAGGTAGACCTAAACACTTATGAGTTGTGAATGCGAAAGCATGCACGTCATTCTTTCGCTCCCTTATTCCGTCTGCAGCGTATTTGCGTCGACGACAGAGCGGCGCGCTCTGCCGGTGAGTAGACGGCGCCTCTCCTCGCCGCTCTTACCTTGAACGTTTCGTGTTAGCGGCACTCTGACGGACACGCAGCGCCATGAGGTGGCAGTCGTTGAAACTGACGTGCAGCGGCCAACGGGAGCCTCGTCGACGCGCCCCAGCCAATGGGACCGAAGCCGAAATCCATCAGCTTTACTTTTCTCCTTTGGGATCGGCGAATCTAGGTACCGTTGGCTAGGCTTTTCGCGTGGTTTCATAGCTGGTTTCTGGTTTCATTTGGAGAAAGAATTTAAGGTGCCGTTTGGCGCGGTTTCAAAGCTTATGACGTCGACTCGCTCCATGGGACAGTTAATGCTTTCGCATTAATAAGGGAGCGGAAGAATGACGTGCATGCTTTCGCATTCAAAACTCATAAGAAGTACTTAGGTGTCCCTCGAGCCCTTTTATTGATTAAATTGCAGCACCTTGTGCAGTCTAATTATCTTTACTCGGCAATTTACAAAGAGCAAACTTTTTTGAATGCACAAGATTATACAAACAAGACGTAAAAATGTTTGCGAGCAGTACTGACGAAGTAGTGGGGAAGTAACTGAGATCCACGTTGCCTGATGGACGAATGAAGATTCGGGCAGTTCTGAAACGAATAAAAAACCCAATGCGGAGTTTTTTTTAGTTTGAGTAACGCACTTTCGACTGGTGTTTTTAGCGTCCTATTCCTCCCATTCATAGAAAATGGCCCAGAAGTGACAACAGTTGACGCAGACTTGTACAGCTGCAACGGAAAAAGAGTAGCACAAGGGACCGATGACCGGAGCGGCAAAACCGCGACACGCGGCGCTATTGTTTCCGAGCTCTCCGATAGCGAGAGTGCAAGTCATGTTGCATTTCTCAATGTGGGGGTGGCCGGCAGAAAGTTGAGGGATAAGATAGCTTTTAAAATGCAGGCTTTAAAATAAGCTGCTTGCTGCCGGCCGCCCCCGCGTTGAGAGATGGGACGTGACTGTCACTCTCGCTATCGGCGCGCTCGGGAGCAAGAACGTCGCGTGTCGCGATTTTGCCGCTCACGTCGTCGGTCACTTGTGCTACTCTTTTTTCGTTGCGGCTGTACGTAGTTCAACTATTCTACTCAACTTACTGTAGTTTACTACGTTTCAGAGTAGTTAAGTAACTTTTAATTATATTTTTTATTTCGGTAATCAGTAGTTAACTTTAATTACGTTTTCTCGGTAACTTCTACTCAAATTGCAAATTACTTCCGAATTTTAGTGGTTGTTTTGCCTATCAATAAACATTCTTGCACAAAAAAATAAGATGTTGTAAGAACAGCTGATATTTGAAAAGAGGGAAAATCATGTGGCATAGGAAGGAGGGGGCGGGGTGGAAGAAAGTGGTTTGGAGAGTCCGAAACCCCCCCAAACTTTTCACGAGCCCCCACTGCAACAGGACTGGTACGAGGCACGGAGGGCAAACAGACACGACGCAGGAGAGGCCGAGTAACTGCAAGATTAGCGCCAAAGACTTGCGTTTATTTGTGTCATGAAGCTCAAGGAGGCGTGACCCATTTGAAGAAAGGGCTGGTCCCTGCTTCTGCCCAACGTAGAAACCCTCGCCCACTATAGGTGTACACACTGCATCCTCACTCAAAGGAGGCAACAAAATGTAGGACCCGCTCTGAAGCTCATCTGGTGCTCCCGAAGTTTGTGCTGTACTCGAAGAATCGCGTGCTAAAGGGCAATGCAAAGGTGACCTTCTTGCGTTGCCTTTCCTCCCAAAGCTCAGACGATGCAGATCGTCCAAGATTCCAAGATCGTTAGAGAAACTTTAGTAATTCCCCCAACGTTTTGATATAAAAAATAATAAACAAACAGCGCTAGGAAAGTGTTTTAAGTACTACATGGAATTCAAAGTTCTACTGTTTACAAAGCTTTTACTTTACTTGAAGCACATTCTCTGAGCATGTACTTTTACTTTAGTAAAGTAATTTTCTCTGATACTTTCCAAGGAAAGTAAAATTCTCGACTTCAGTGTGCGTTTCCCGAATTTAAAGACAAAAAAAAGGCGTGTCATCGTGTGAAAACCCGCTCTTTCGAGACGCCATCTGGTCATTTCTCTAAGTGAGGTAATGGCAGCTAGAAGACCGACACAAATAGGTGCCTTATAAATTGATAGTGTTAAATAGTTCGTCAGTTAGAGTAAAACAACTACTGTGTGGTGACTTGACTTTATACAATATTTGCTCCTAATTCCGTGGAAAACTGATGCACCTCCGATTACCCTGAAGCAATGCATACCAGTTAAAAAAACACTGTATAGGGAATGAAAGGGCATCATGAAAGACTGGGTTAAAAGTACTTGTGCTTTACCTTAAACTATATTGTATTTACAGTACGTTACTTCAAGTACATTTTACCCGGTGTACTTACTACTTAAATTGAAGTACATAACCTCTCATTTGCTTTGTACTTTACTCCAAGTGCTTTTTATATGTACTTTATGCAAGACTGTAAACAAGCAAATACTGTCTAAAAATTCAAGCTTAGGCAGTGCTAAACCTCAAAGTACAAGTAAAAGTAGAGAATAATTAGACACGCAGAAGCAGAACCAGCTATTAAAGCATTTCTGTGAAAAAAACAAGCCGATTCATATTTGGCTAGCACAATTTCGCTTGCGGATCAAAACCTATGTACTCTCTTGTTACCATAAAAACGACATATAGAAGTAACTTCAAAAGTAATTCGCTACCTTTTGTATGTAATTCGTAATTTTCTCAATTACTTTCCTTTTGAGTAATTTCTACTCTACTCAAATTACTTTTGAGGTCAATACTCAGCAACTTAACTTAATTACTCGTTTGAGTAACTTGTACATGTCTGAGTTGACGTCACAAAAACCGGGATTTCGCACTACCGAATCCAGCAATCCTGGCGGTTGGTCGTAGAAATGCTGGCGAAAAGCACGAGCGAAAGTGAGTGTCGCTGTCGTATTGTCACGGCGTCCCATCTCCTGGCTGCTGAATCTTCCGTTGACTCTCAAGTTGCAGAGCGACCTGCAACAGAACAGTCGTCTGCACCATCCACCATCGCTTCTGTAACGCCGCCAGGATCACGACCGACGACAGCATGATACAGCATAACCCTTCTATGATGTCATTAGGCGGAAATCGTGGGACCATTTTTTTTGGACGCTGGAAAAACACCAACCGGACGCGCGTTCCAGATACCTTAGCTTGGGCACCGACGTTTGATGAACGCTCTCCGTATATCGTAGAAAGTGACACACAGGATGACATGCAACGAATTGTCGGCTACCCATTGTAGGCACTTTTGGGGAGAATAGCACAGTAGGATCAGTAAGATTTTGTGTTAAGCAAAGTGAAAAATGAGGACTGATGAGTTCCTTGGTTGAAACACTTGACCGAAACATTGGTCACAGTGATTGACGAATAAAAATCGTGGAATGAAAAAGTGAGGAAAATTTCTAAACGTAAAATAAAGTTTTCTATGTGCCCTTCTGAAAATGTCATTTAACGAGCTCACCAAATGCTTAGTGCCACATCTCTCTGGATCTGTCCTAGTGATTGACTCTGCGATTGACCTGCGAGAAAATAAATACACCTGCATTTTTCGAGTTACTATCCGGTCCATTTCATTCGGCATTCTCCCAAGTAGTACCCCTGCCAGCTAAGGATAAAATTTACTTTCATTCATGTAGTTCATGCTTGTAAAAAAAAAAATACATTTTTTTTGTATGAATGCGTAGACACCTGGAAGTTAGTCTTCGACAGTAAAGCTGCTTGTGATCTCTCAGCATATGAGCAGTTTGGCTGAGTAGTGATATTTTAAATTCGGAAACTGGAATGATAGTTCAGATCCGAATATTCATAAAAAAAAATGTTTTGGTGATCATCCTTATGTAATTTCGATTGAATATTTAAGTTATGTAAATTTAGCAAGTAAACGGAACTTGGAGAAGAAATCAGACAGTTGCAAATATCAGGAAAAAATCTAGGTATATAGACTTCAAAGTGCCCTTCCTAAGAACATGTAAGTTTAGATTCACGTGCTACAGAATTTGATTTTTCTTTTTTGTAATGATGGTTTTGGGTTCGACTTTCTCTCTACAGCTGGAGGAAAACATGCTGGACTTATAAAACGGTTCATTTTGTCATTAAAAGCAGCAGAACGGAAATTTGCAGAAGAAAGCAAAACAAAATTAAGTTTCCGTTTGTCCTTAAACAATGTTTCCACGTGCGGGGTCATAGGCTGCTTGAAATAATTGCTTCTTTCATTGCATGTCCTGAGAATGAAAATATATGAAACGCCCTGCTATAAAAGATAAAAATATATAAAAATTTTGTTCCTTTTTTTACGAGCTCTGGTTATCGTATATTACCGACTGTTTTAGAGCCCTTCCATTCTTGTGCATGCACACTCAGAGCTTGTCGCAAGTTCGGTGGGCAACGAAAGGTAAGAAATTGGAATAGTGATCATTCGAGCAGCAAACTGATAAAAATGTGCAAAATATGTTGGCGCCACCTGATTTAGCCGTTATCTTAGGATAGTTAGCACGGGATAAGTATGAATCTCAAGCCACGGGCGTTGTTTTCTTCTCACTAAAATGATTACCAGGGCATAGTGAATGCATACGACCAAAAGTTTTGTAGTCTTCATTCTTTGCATTTCAGGTTTTGTAACAAAATATCGCTATTTCTATGCGCCAAGCTGCCGGAGGTTAATTGTAAGTCTTTCCAAAATAGGATATACGTCTAAGTTTCATTATAAAATTGACTTCCGCTGAGAATCACTCTCTTTTGTGGACGTTAAATTAAACAATCATATCTAATAGAATTAGAACCGTTTATTTTTAAAGCACACCATTGCAAGATTTTGGATATATTCTCAGAAACCCTGCAGAAAACAGATAATATCATGTTTGTTGAAAGAATGCCATTTATAACCCAGTTGTGAAACATATAGAACATGCGCAATAATGGTACGTTTTGGCTCGTTTATATATTCAGTGTAGAACTTTATAGGCAATTAACCCACGTAAATTAATAGAAAACTCCATTCCAACGTATTTAACAGCCTTTTTTTATTTTTCAGAACTACAACAACCATGCACACAATGAAGTCAATCGTGCTGATGATAAGTTTTTGCTCAACGCTTCTCTTCACTTGCAGCTTCAGCAACGTCGATATTTCGACAACACAATTTTTTAAAGTATGTTCTTACACTATAATGCGCTAAATGTTCTATAAAAATTAGGCAACTGAGTATTCTGCACTTGATAGGCTGTGCGAATTAACACAAGAGCTAACAAATCTGTCCGAGCTAGCCCCCAAGTGTGAGGGGCCAAAATGTATGGTTAAATTATACTGGATACGCCCCAGAAAGCATAAATGATTATTTAGAATCGTATATATCGATTACGTTTTGCAGAACGCTGACATTTAAATATGAGGGGCACTAAACGTTAAGGCAGGATGTGAACGTTTCGGCCCGATAAGTTACCTGATTCAGAGGATAGACGGGTTTTCCTAAATGTTTAGATAAAATGCCACAGTCCTTCATCGGTATCACAGGAATGCACAGACGATGTTAGATGTCGATTGCGTGCGACAGTGCACACTGAAATATCATTGCATAAAACTGGAAGCTAATGCGATCTTCGAGCCGCCATACAAAATGTCCAGCTCTGATATTTTGTTTTCAGAGATGCCGCTTCCCCTAGACTCAAGTGTCTGAAAATTACTTACAAAATTTGCATTACGTTAGGTATCGAACAAAAATTGTCGCATACTGGCTTTGCTGATATTTAAAAATTAAAACAACGCAAGGACACTGACAATAACAAGAAGGCAGACGAACAAGGCACTGACGTACAACGGATGTTTATTCGTAATAGCATCGAGTATAAGTACGCCAAAGTAAAAAAAAAAAAAAATACATGACACAGACGCTACGTGCTCTTTCGGCCACTGGCACGCGCTGTGACTGTGTGTCTAAGAAGCAACATTCTTTATCGAAAAAAAGATAGGGAAGGAGCACTGATACAGCTTTCTCCCAACCTTCTGATTTCCCGTGCTTCAGTGATTTCTCGAGTGAGTTTTCTTTATTCTTTCTAATCACCTCACGCGTGTCGAAGACGAGAGTGCAATGACAGTCCAGACTTCATTTTTAGTTCCAAACGAATCTTTTGCTTCATTAGCGCTGAGATGATTTTCCAAATCGCAATGATTGGTTATTTGAGTGTTTCGCGGGTAAGTAGACGCGCAGGCATTTCTTAGAGTGTAGAACTTTTATATTTGATGTCCTCTTTGCTTTAACCAGGGCGGCGTTCAACCGTCTGGTAAACAACATAGCGATGCACCGCATGCAGTGTGAACAAATTCTAATTCATTGGTTATATGATTTTTTAAGGATATTAAAGAGAGACCAGTCCTGCTGTACCAGTGCTATCACAGCGGAAACACTATTGATCCACCAACATCTACTAACTTTACAATTCTGTTTGATGGCACCAACCCTAGCACAACAAGGGCTGTTTGTACCACGTGGTCTGCAACAAAGGAAACTCCCAACTCTTACGTTACGTGCGTATGTTTGAATTTCTAATTATAAGCAATGATAGCTCTGAAACGTAAGCAAAGCAGTTAATATTAATAATTGTACTATGACGTGTCATTACCCTGATTTCGGAACGCTTCGAGCAACACAAAATGAAATAATTACATTATATAGCAATCACAGAGTCCAAAGCGCTAGTTTGTAATATAAATGGAAAATATTCTTAAAGGCCAGGCAGATGGGAAATGAAGTTCATACGATATGCGTTATGAAATACAAAGTTAATAATAAGGTCAGGTGGTTGAGGTCACTGGAGACGAACCGACGACAAGAACGGTATCGAAAAACGGGTCTCAAACGCAGCTGAACAAATTTTACCGATTCGCCGTGTTTTCTGTATTACTTTCTCTCATAACATTCGACGGTTTTGTACACTTTTATGCGACGACGTCACGCCCACCATATCACAGCCAATGGTAGTATACCAAGACCACAGGTAATAAAACAGGGTCATACAGAAATCAACTTGGACCACAAAGTAGCCAAGCTCAAGACCTTATACACTTGCCAATGTAAATAAAGATTCGACGCGTAATCGAATCGCGCAAGTGTTCCATACCCTACAGAAAAAAAAAAAAAACCAGTATAACTTCAGTTCCATAATCCGGATACTGAAACGTTGTACTGTGTTGGGTGTAGACCTTCCCAGCGACTATCACGCAGTCGAAAATTGCTGAGTTACTTGGCTGTGCACGCGTGCGCGGCGTCTGATATTTCGTGGACGAGAGCTACTGCGCGCTCAGAACGCGCTCCAGATCCCTGTAGAAAAAGATGGCATCACGCCGAAGGCGATTATTGGAAAAGTCTATAGCAATGTACTACATGATGGTTAAAAACTATAAGTACTTTTGCCCCAAACTCAAAGAACGGCCTAGAAGATACGCGTACTAAGCGCGAGTTGTTCTCGGTTACACTTAATAAATTAGAAGTAGTTTTGAGTAAGTCATGCTTATTGGTGGCGAGAGCAAGCCCTATAATTTTGTCAGCAGGAAAATAATTGCGCAATAAAGGCTCAGATAACGATAGCGCAAAACAATAAACACAATGAATAACTTTGACATCAGTACCTCGATATTACTTTTATATTTACAGTGGTTCTCTTGAGGCGTATTATGATCCAACTATCGATCTTGCAGTGCTCACTACATCATGTAAGTAATTTATATGTAAATAATTTCTAGCACTTAACAACTGCTTAGAAAAACGATCCCGGCTGAGTCTCAGTTTTTTTTAACCGCTTGATGTCCATTAAGATTTAGAAATAATTATACTGGTATTCTTAGTAATGCTTCATTTTATAACGAAGAGTCAGGTTGGCCAAGAATTAATTCGCTTCATACTTTATTATTATATTTCTCGAAAGAATTAATGTCTGAGATTGTGATCACACCGCATATATATATTGCAACAAAGTCTTATCGCACAATATATACATTTACAAATGCGTCTCCCATCGCTGTGCTAAAGCATCGCATGAACTATTTAGCGAATATATAAATCGACAGCACTCTTCCGCGAATATTTTCACTACCATATTTAGGTGGAAAATTACGAATTATTCTTAAATTTTGCGAACTACCGAAATATGCACTAAAAACAAAATGTAGCTCGGTACAAGCGGACGCCGATCTTTTCGATCTCATTTTACAGCCAGCCGGTCCCTGTAGATTTGAAGCCCTATTTCTATGCAATTTGGTGTTATTGACACAGAGGTAGATTTTGCAGCAGACTGATAAATATAACGGAACACCTATCTGGGTCACGTGTTTGGTGCCCCTGTAAACCATCTTCTCCCGTGGCTAGTGCCAAACACGAGTCACGTCATCACGTGATGTGCGTCAAGCTACGCCAGATCACAAGACGACACAGTGTCACGTGACTCACCGAATGAAGTCAAGGTGTCGGGTGACCTCAAGGTGTTAACAGCGTAATTGCATCCAAGAGGATTAGGTGTTGAGTTGAGGTGTATCGTGAGGTTGCATTATGTGGCCACGTCGTGTGATTTCAGAGCACGTGATGTGTGTCACGGGACATCCCGATTTGGCCGCCGGATTTTGGGTGACGACGTGACTGACGTTTTCATGCTGCCCAGAATTGTGTATATATCGCAGATGTGTTCGCACCATGAGCGTTTGGACGATAGATTAAAGCGCCTTTTTTTCAGAAAAAGACTGTTAAGCCCATCATGTCTGCCTCTTTAGTAATACCGACAGTTCTTAATGTATTTAATGTCTTATACCTTTGGTTTTAACACATTTTTAAATGAGTGAGTTACGTGTGCCATCTTCAGCACAAACGCGAAGGTTCTTTTTTTTAATGCTATCACGCTTAAAGCTAACTTTGTTTTATAAACTGTGAACGTTTAGTGAATTCCCACATCCATAGAAACACAAAGTGTCTTTGCGGAGCTTATTTTACAAAAATATTATAATGTTCTTGTCCAGTGGTCTCCAAACATTTTGGCTAAGTGGACGGATTGGGAGGGGGGGGGGGGGGGGGGGGAGAGGTCTGGGTCAATATAAATGTGGAAATACCAAATAAATAAACATTAATGAGCGCTTAAATGCTAAAATTCAAACTAGAGAAACAATGAAAAAAAATTAAGGCAGATGATACTATAATTTATTTTTAAATTCAGTATGTCCCTAAATATATACGCTACTACAAAACAGTTGTGACTCAGGAACCTCACTAATATGAGTCGAAGTACATACAAACTTTGGCGTATTCCAACACGGCCAAACACTAATGAAAATGGTAGATCTGATTATGACAATATGCAATAGTTATGACACAGGATACTAGGCACGATAGGCACAAACAAGCACGCACACATATTTTGACATAGGTAGCTACACATACATAAAACAGTGGACTACTAATTGTTATGCTGGTGAAGACAATGTAGAATAAATAATACGGGGAGAGAACCGGTGCGTGGATATAGTTTTCTCTCATTCATTTTTATATCTTCGTTTGCATATTGAAGCGCCTGGCGGCGTCGTTTTCTTTTCAACGTGCGCTTACTTTTGCGTTTGTAGCCGCCACACGAGCGCGCTACTTCTATCCAGTTACTTTTTTCTGCAACGAAGTATCAACCCGCTTAGTTTCCGAGAGAAGGAACGATTAACATATTTTCATTACTTTTTCATGGATTGAGGAGTAACGGTATTTAGTCACTTCTGCATAGGAACGTGTAGAGCAAATGTTAAATTTTTTTGCTTTTCATACTAGGTCGCAACTGTAACTTTCACGGCGAAAAAAAAAATAAGAAACGCAAAAAAAAGAGGAAAAAAGATGCTCATTAAAGCATTAAAACACTAGGCATTATTAACGACACGAAGTATTGGAAGGCGGCTACAGCTTCACAAGAGCGACACATCGAGGTTAACGAGAAAATAATTTTACTTTGAAGTTATTAACGCGCTCCTTCTAAATCTCAGTAACAAGTAACGCACGCAGTTACTTTTTCAGCGAGTAGTGAGTAACGGAACCTTAGTTACTTCTTTCACTCACGTCTTCATGTCTCGTAGCATCCGGCAGCACGCTGCGGGTCACCGTATTAGCGGCGGCATAGGCGGTCCAGCCAGAACGTCGTAGCGGGCTGGATCTGGCCCGCGGGCCGGTGTTTGGAGGCTTCTGTTCGTCAGTTTAAGGTATTTTTAGAAACACAAAATGTAAAATTAAAAACGCCGCGCAGTCGAAATATAAATTCTTGCAGAGTATTTCTGCAAGTTAGAAAGTGGTCGATTGCATTTTCGCCAAAGCCTCCTGTCGTTCGCTTTTGGATGCTTAACAAGCTGGACAGAGGAGAGTACACAGATTTCTTAAACAAATATTGAAAAACGTTTTTATTTCTACAGCTAATGTACGAGATAAATTTCCAGGTTCAGAGCAATTTACGTATAAAATAATGTATACACGAACATAACACAGTGATGAAACAGTTTTTTAATGTAAACTCAAGAGCTTCTGGATTGCAAAGAGGCACATACACTCCGTGCGGGAACTATAGGGGGCGCTTTGAAAAACGCGCGTAGCGCCGCTAGCGGAGGAGCTGGCGTTCGACTGTAAGGCGCATTCAGCAGTCTGCGGCGCCTTTTCGCATGCCAAGCTGTGGCGGCGGAAGCGCGCACGGACGAAACTTTTGCTTTTTGAGCCGATAAGTTGAAGGTGACGTTGCATGAGTGCTGGGGCAGAAGGGCATTTAGCTGTTCTCCACTTCTTATATATTGAGTTTGAGTCGTTATTAGGGGTAATTTCTCTAGTTGCGGCCGAAAAAGGAGTTGGAGCAATTTTCCGCAAAACAAGACGGCCGCCACCTTAATTGCTTTGAGTGGAAAATTTATTTCGCTCGTCGCTGTAAACCTAGGACTGCTGGAACGATGATATTTGGAGGCGAATGAGATGTTGACATGCCAAGTTTCTTTAAAACAGCAGGTGTGAAAGTTATGTTTCTAACGAATAAAGAAACAAAGCTGTACGGGATATCCAATATTGGATCCAAAATGTTGTGTTATAGCGGGCTGTGCAAAGTGCAGGTTTGGGCAGACAGGTGCTTGGACTTGACCGTAACATGACACAGCACTCATTATAGAAAAAAAAAGTGCCATAGGGAAACAAGGTGAAAATTCGGTTTGGGCGGCGTAACTCAATGGGAACCGGTTTTGACCATGAAAAGGCTGTCAAGAGAATACCACTGGTCGGGGGAGGGGAGACTTTATAGGTAGGAAGGGACTAGTGGACTGTACTTCCAATTGAAACAACTTTACGAAAGGTGGTTCCAAAGCCGAGGAAACAAAGTTGTCGGCCAATACACGGTTTGGCCGCCAAGGGATTTTGCGGTCAGCTGTTGTGTAATAACCTGTTGTGCGAGGTGCTGATTTTCGGCGCACAGGTACTTTGACATGACCGTCACTTGGCACAACACTTATTATAACAAAAAGAGTGGGCATAGCGAAACCAGGTGGAAATTTAGTTTGGGCGGCGTAACTAAATGGGAACTGGCTTTGACCGTCAAAGGCTGTCAGATAATACCACTCATCGTGGGAGGTGCACACTTTACAGGTAGGAAGGGACCAGTGCATGGTACTTCCAGTTTGAACCACTTTGCGATAGGTGGCTCTAAAGCCGAGAAAAAAAATATTGTTGTCTACAGAACTCGGAGTGTCAACGTTTCCACATCCAAAAAGAGGCTGATCAAGAAAAAAAGCGCACCACATAAACTTCCATGCTCAAACGTCGATTCTCCAGTGATTCCGAGTTTCATTGTTGTTTTCTTTAGATTTATACTTGTCGCTTTTTTTTACCGTTCGAATCTTTCCTCATGAAGTAGAGATTGCTTGCCTTACGTGTCCGGAAATATCATCGACACGTACGATGGGGACGAAACTTCTTTGGAGGGCATTCCTCAAACGAAATTGGCACTGCATACCCGCGAGTGTGGGATGACATTTCAGTTCGTCCCATCGGCGCTGACACATGTAGGCATTACTGGTACAAAAACAAACGCAGAGCGCAAAGCGGCAGTGTAGAATATGTCAGTCATGCCGGCACAGTGGCAGACATGATCGGGAGACCAAAGTTCTCGCGTCGTACGGCACGGCTTCATTTTTGTCGCTGTCCCACAAATCATCGGCGAGGTGAAAAACTGTGGAACTTTTTCTCCACGAGATACGACGCATAAATATTCGAGCACTTAATGACGCAGCACAGGCTGCGTCATTAAGCTGCTGTGAACCCAGCGCAACCGCACCACTCCGACTTCAATGCGTACCAACGTACGCGGCGTGGTTTCGGTGTCGTTTTCTCTGGGGTTCTCACTGCCTACCTTCCGTACCGGCCGCGCGGCGGCGCGCCAGTCGCGTCGCACGGAGTGTATAGCTGAATTTGTTGTTTTTGAATAACATGCATCTTTTTTAATTACAGCTATTGAAGAATTCTTTACTGTTCAGGAACCATTTGTGGGCAAAACCCTCTACGTTAGAATCGGTAAGATTGGGACGAGCTCTTGTTTGCACGAGAAGTAAATTGAAGGTTACATAAAGAAAACTATTTGCCCCCGAGAAGTTGTATTATTACCTCTCTGATACTCTATGAAAAAATTAAAACCTTTGAAGAAACGATGTTTGTACTTCATATAAATTGTCCACATAGCCAAATAGCCAGAGGTCCGTCAGGCCTTTGCGTATCCTCCCCCTGATCAATATTGGGAGAGGGAGGCTCAACTTCTAGCTAAGTTTCGTAATCTGATTCTCAATTTGTTCATGAGCATCAAACTGATATCCAAGCTTTAAGCTTTGAACGATTGATCAGCTATATGTAAACAATGTATGTAAACAGGATGTCATGCATTGGAAACACCATTTCTCAGACGGTAATCCGAGAAGTCGTCTAAACTTTATTTATGAGCCCTAAGTTCCGGGTATCACACCATACTGAAAGCTATATTCTGGCATGACATCACCTGAATGTTACGACTTATTCTAGATATATCTTCAGAAACCATTCGCATAAGGTCGATTATGTTGAAACTTGTATTATGGTATTTAAAATCCTAACAACCTAAAAGGAAAGATTCGGTTTTTTCAGTTCACTTGTACTAATAAGCTCTTGGTCCAGTCCGTGCGATTCACATACTGTAAACGGTTCTTACCTAGTAAGCAACAAGTAGTTTCGGGAATGTTTTCATTTGTATAGAACGCCATGTGTTCTACTAAATTATTTCACTCGGAGAAAAATGTGCGAACACTTTCACTTTTACAATAATTAACTTTATATTCCGTTGTAAGGTATGTTTTTTTTTTTATTTAGGACCCCAGGAAATACTAGTCAGGTACTGTGTAAGATTAAGTGCAGAAGGATTATTTTATACTAGCATACATGTTTTCAATATTGCAGAAGATGTCGCCAAGAACGAAACTGTGGTCTACAAAATATACGATACTGATTTTGAATGCACGAACGCCAAGAAACTCTTAAAGAAAGTGTGTCCAGACCCTTGCGACATGGAGCTGACACGAGAAATCTCAAACATTTGAAACTGGAATCAGTTTAAAAATACCTTGTGCTCCTCTTGTGCATTTTCATTTCGAAAATTAGTCAGGATTATTTTCTACATCTAGCCTAGAAACCTTCAATGCACACATGACACGTGATGCACCTTATACCTTTTTCATTCGATCTTTTTTTAGATAAAATATATTTTAATAAAAACTATTGCACTTCTTTCCCGCCTCTTGATTCTACATGTATTCTCGGAAAGTTTGGTGATTTTATTTGTTTTTACCTGCCACCAAATTAAGAGTCAACCATAGGAAAGACAGAAGCACTGGGCGCCGCTAACACGCGCAAGTAAATACTTAATTATAAATTATAAGCATAAGATACCAACTGCATCCCCATTTGATAATTGAAAAATGGCGTAAACGACGCACTGGAAAAGTTCCCCGAGCCATTTTAATATTTCGTGTTGTTTTGTTGCCGTAGGAATATACTTATTATTTCATATCTGACAGCATGCGACATCGAAAATACAAGTGATGGAAATTCAATCTTAAAATCGAAGCCCTCTAGAAAAACTAATTTTGCTAAGCGCTTCTTTTTATAAGGTGTGGTATGAATTGATTCTTGTCTTCTTCCATGAGGTCCAAAAGAAGGACGATATTTAAAAGGCGAAACTTGGAGAGTACAGTCACTCCAGTCTAGGTAGCACGCCAAAGAAACGTACAACTTGGCACAAGCTTAATATTTCTATGGGTCCTAACTTGGGCTTAATACGGTTTTGCTTCACTGCGTTAGTAAGTGTCAGAGCTTTTTTTTTGCGTTTCTATGATTTTTTTTTGGCTTGCCACATGGATTCCTAAGTGCCCAACTTAAGCCAGCGATGAAACATGTGAACCGAAAAACCAGCAGTGAAACTTAAATTGGTTACTTATTTTAGCTTATTTAAGCCCAAACATGCCAGATGACAGTCACATTACCCGCAGTAAAACCGAACTTTGGCACCTGTTTGGCGAATTAAGGCCAAGATTCTCGCCAAATGCCGAATTTGCCTCTACCTCAGCTTTGGGTTTTTAAAGCCCGAAATTCCCGCACAAAATCCAAATTTGGCTTAAAGAACTGTGCTACGCTTCGAAGGTTACCCTCGACAATATTTGTTTGAAGATGATATAATGAGCTAGTAGACTACAAACACCGAAAAATGAAAGGAGTATTAAAGAAACACAATAAAACGTGTCACTGAGACATGAGGTGCTAGTTAGGACGTGCCCTCGCACTTCCTACTCGCCTTCGCACATTAAGCTTTCTGTGTATGGTTTGCGCGTTAACTCTTTTCCCCTCAATACGCACAAAAAGAATTTTTTAACGCTTACGTTTCTCAGATTTTGGAAAAGATGCTTCTAAAATAAATTCAATAAAGCTAGACGAAGAAATTCCGAATATCATGAGAGGTGAAAGTGCATTTTGAGTGGGCAATCTGGCAAACACATTTAGATGTTGCAAATAAAGACTGGCGAAGCGGCAGTGAACGGCTCACCCCCCCCCCCCCCCCCCCCCCCTAAAGCTATCCTCTCCAGATTCATTGACGTGAAGGTACATCAGCAAGCTGTTTTAATGACTTCGTTACTCTTATTCCTGGTATTTTGAACGTGCCACTTCACAATTCTTTTGGCTACAATAGTCTTTTTTAAAACGACGTCGGGCATTGACCTCTATTGATGTTGTTGGATGGAGGTGTTTAAATAAACATGGCCATCTGCGTAATAACGCTTGTGTAGCATTCTTTTTCCAAAGTTACAGTCGCCGGCCATATGAGCTCCCCCGACCGAACGCCGACCGGATCCGCAAAAATCCCGCACGCGGCGCGTCGAGCGTTGCCGCATTTTGGGAGCCGGGCTATTAGGACCAAACCATTCCGTTATCAAAAGGGTGGACGCATAACTTTTATCGGGATTCGAGCCTTTCGATGTGTGAATCACGAAAACATGGCCCATTAGAATCGCCGTCTTGGGGTGTTGGCCCCAAGTGTTCGGAGATTATATTATAACTGCTGATAAACTGGTACTTGCTTTAGGCGTAGATGAAGCAGCAGTGTTCAATCGATGCTCACAAATGTAAAACCCTATGTTTGATATGATATTAGGCATGACAACAATGATCCCTTGGCAAGCGAGAAGTGGCCGATCAGGAAGCCATCTGCAAAATCATCGTGTAGAGAGTCACCCTCACCGAAGCGACCCGCTACTTAGCGCAGAACAATAGTCTCCTCGATAAAACGCGTTCATGAAAAGTGCCTGAATCTTTATTCTGCTTCGACACAAATCGTTTTTTTTTGTTATCTATAGCATACCCTGATAGATTAAATAAGTTACTTCAAAATCGCTTGTCATTGTCTAGTCTAGGTTTAAGAAGATTGTATGAAAAGGGGAGGGGGGGTGTGCGTAGGACTATTCTTCGGGTAGAAACTCTCTAAAATGGCAAACCAGTTTCGTAAATAAAAAAAAAAGTAGCATATAACACGTCAGAGATATTATGCAGTGAAGAATTTCGATAAGCCGTCTGCGTTTACCTACAACCGGAAGCGGGATTGTAATCGGCCGCGCTTCAGATTCACGCTCCAAAACGCGGAATGCTATTAAACTTCCTCCGTCCACCCCTTTGATAACGGAATGCTTTGGTTCCAATAGCCCGGCTCCCAGAACGCGGCAACGCTCGACGCGCCGCATGCGGGATTTTCGCTGCTCCGGTCGGCGTTCGGCCGGGGGAGCTCATATGGCCGGCGACTGTACATATGATGAGAGGCTTGGAGAGGCGTTTAGTGTATACCTCGGTGGCTAATGTTTTGATGTCTTGTTTTCAAGGTAGTTTAAGCATGTTATCCATTATCTATAAAACTTATAAATTGGCTCTAACTTAAAAAGGAGCAAAGCCTAAAGTAACCACCATATTGATAAATATTGTTTTCTAAAAATAGGCAGTTTCATCGTGGCTGACGTGTCACTGTAACTTCACGTGATCTGGCGTCACGTTACGTTAGATGACGTAGCGTTTCACGCACGCGACAGTCAAGCATAAAGTTTGAGTTTGCTTTTGTAAGTATTTGAGTTTGCATTATTACTCGTTCAAATAACTTTATACGTCACTTCTACATATTGCACTTTTATATCTTGAGAGCTCTTAAATTTGTGTAACTTATATCTACTCATATTTTTTTAGTTTGAGAGAAGTATTGAGTATAAAGATAATTTCATCACTTCAATAATAAATAGGGGCTGGCGCGACCCATATTTTGGTTAAGAAGCTGACGCGAGAATTAAATGTGAGCTTTATATAAAACACCAATCGTTTCACCGATTTTTTATCGTTGCGCCTTTAAGAATGCATTATCACTAATTGGGGGTCGCCATAAAGTCGCATTATAGCGATGCGTACTTCTTACTTCAAGTGCACTTTTAAGATGGTTTGTATTAGTGTGAGATACCGAAGTATTTTTCAGAAAGAAATCAAATAGTTCGCACACATCAAATTGTGAATGATTCATTGCCCTTTATTTTTGTGGGCGATACAAATGCGATATGACTTATTTTGGTTCTACCGATTGCTGTAGCGGATCATACATGATTACCTTTTGTAGAATAAAACGATTTATAATAACAAATAATTTTGACATATATTCTGTGCGAAGAAATAACTCACCTAAATACACTAAAGTGGTCAAATTGCGGTCACGCTTTTCCTGTTATGGTGCGGAATATATCCTGCGATTAAAAAATATAAAGAAAACTTACTCGTAATATCACCCAAACCTAATATTGCCTTTCTGCGAACTTCGCTTGGTCTATACCGCATCTAGACCTGTTTGACGAGTAGTAATGATACGAGTACTGGGCCCTAGACTTACTAAAGCGTTTCTGCGTGGGATGGGTGTAATGATCACTTGGGTATTGCTGTTCAATGTTACTTTGGTGCTGTGCAACATCTGAACACGTCTTTTAGAAAATGACTACAACCCTGCATACCAAAGAAACAATCATTCTCTTGATTGTCTCGTATTGATTCTTTTTTTTTAATATCCCTGCCACCCCAAGAAGACAAATAACCCAACTTAAAAATTCTACAAAATACGTCCATTTCATATTTGACTACGTTACTTTAACTTGGGTATTTCGCAAGAAACCCCTATTGAATAAAATAAGCGCTAGGAATTTCTGTCACAACAGGTTTTTGCCAATGATAGACATTTCTGCAAGCATAGGCAGAATATGTATTTTCAATAATGAAGATAATACAATAAAAAATCAATGTAATACCAAGAGAGCGCAGAACATGGAGCACAAACAGCTACCCGCTCTCAGTGAAGATTCGTGTGCTCGATGATGTTACTGAGACGAACGGATGTTAACAGCAGTTTTTGGGAAGGAATTTTTATTCATAGAACGTAAACAAATTCAGTGTTCATCTAGTTTAGCTGTATTTCGACTAAAAGTATGGTCTTGGACCCTCATCGCTTAAGTTAAGTGGTGATGTTCAATTCAGGGGCGGGAAAGTTGTGTTCCGGGTAACCCATTTTTAACCCATCTTGATAAAATTTAGCATAGTAAGCCCATGTCTTTTACTATCAGGTCAGGTGAGGGTCAAGTAGCAATCATTGAAAAGATCGGCAAACCTTTTAGCTCACATTTCCCCAAGCCCTGGGAGAATAATTCATTTACATTTCAAAATACAGCTGAAGAGTATTTTGATAGTTTTCAAAACGGGCATTACATTTTACTTCCCAACGCTAAAAACCTTTCATTCGCGCAGTCCTATATACAGTCACTTTTATTGGGGAAGTGGCCTAGTGAGCTAGCGCACACCAGCTCGAAGCACGTGGAGCGAAAGCTCGCGCTGTAGAACCCATGATCCAGGGCTCAATAGCAACCTTTGCCTGTTTCCATCTGGATGAGCATCGCACCGGCGTGCGGTCGTGTATCACTACTGCGTGATGCAAGTTAAAGACCCCAGGCTAGCGGTTGTACCGCACTGGCTAAATTGCTCA